GGGGCAAATAGACCTATTTGGGGTTCAGCGGTAGTGTTCTGTTCTCATCTTTTGTTTTTGCTTGGTTGTGTCCTTTCCTATTGTATTGAAATATAAGCAAGTGGTTGGGATTGCGGCGGTTGTGTCAGTGCTGCGTGAATGACCGTCTTCTCATCGATCGAAATAAGGCATGACGACAACACAAGCGAAAATGCCAGCAGTCAAGCCAAGCAGCACGACGAGCGGACAGTCGTTGGCGCAACACCTGAGGGCGATCTGCCCCAGCTGGACACCACGTCGTTTCAGCGCAGCGAAGGCGGATCGGAGCGGGGGCACACAACAGCGCAGTCGCCAAGCCCGATGCCGACGCCCGCACCACACGCAGTAGCGGGAAGCATGAGCCCGCTGGCGAGCTCCCCGCGCCTGGTCGCGTACGAACCCACTGACTGTGGCTGCAGCCAAGAGTACAGGGACAACAGCAGCAACAAGGAGGAGTTGCACTCCAGTTTCTCCGTTGAGAATGCGCGAGCTCGGCGGNAAGAGTACAGGGACAACAGCAGCAACAAGGAGGAGTTGCACTCCAGTTTCTCCGTTGAGAATGCGCGAGCTCGGCGGGTGCGTCTAGAGCGGCCGCCGCTCGGCTCTCTCATGCCGCCGCCGCCCTCCCCTGGCCGTCTTGACTCATGTGGTGTCGATCTGCAAGAGCAGCAGCAACTAATGTGTACCGAGACGCAGAGCTCAGAGCTGTACCAAGTGCGCTGCGAAAACGAGAAACTGCGGCAGGAACTCGCCACGAGGAGCGCAGACCTCCAGCAGGCGCTGCGATTGCTGGAGCTTCGGGAGCTGGAGTGTATAGAGCTGAATCAACTTGTAGACAATATGCAAACCGAGGTGCGAGAAATGCGAGAATCAGAAAAGGAAAACATCCATACGCTGAGTAAAGAGAATTCAGCAACAGAAGCACCACATAACGTTAACTCTGTGGCTGCTGCGCAGAGGATGAGTTTGTCAACGAAGACAGGGACAGTTGTAAATAAAAGTAGCCGGACTGCGCTGCTGCCACCTGATGAGGAGACCTTTAAGGCTCCCACGCTTGTCGCTGCTGTTGTGGACGAAGATGAATCACTTCAGCAGCTCTATGACGAGCGCAACCGATTGGCGAAGGAGCTAGCTGAGACAAAAGTTGTTGTTGCTGAGCAGGCGTCTGTGCTGGACCGGCTTGGCCTTCTTTCCCCGTACCCCAGCGAGATGGTCAGCGCCGCGCGTCGCCTCATACCGCGATTTCTTCCCTTACCGAATCATCCCCACCACCACCACCAGCAGCAGCAGCAGTAACAGCAACGTCAACGGTGAGGTGCAAACTCTTCTAATAGAGAATGGAGGAGCCGGTGTGTGCTGTTGTATTTTTGCTCCCACCGCTTGTGCTTTTCCTCTGTATGCTTTTTTGTACATTCCACGTTGGGAGTGAAGTGTGGGGGCTCGTAGAGGTGGTGTCATTCCCCCCCGTACTGCCGGAACGGGCACACATGCAGAGAGTGGCGGAGAGAAACAAAATAATAAAAGAGCCGATTAAATTACATAAAACAAGGTACACGCATCTTCACCTTCATGCTCTCTTCTCCCACTATATTGTTTATTCTTTTTGTTGTTGTTGCTGTTGTTGTTGTTGTTCCCCGTGACATCATAGAAAGAGGTGGGTTGTGTACGCGTCAACGTTTAAGACAGACAAGGAAAAAAAAAA